TACCATTTATCCCCGCTGTACCCTCTTCCACCTCCCCCCACTCCCCTTTCCCTTTGGTAATCACCTTACTGTTTTCTGTGACTATGAGTTGTTTTTGTTTTTGTTTCACTTAATCTCTTTACCTTTTTCACCCACCCCCCAACTCCCTTCCTCTCTGACAGCTGTCGGTCTTTTTTCTGTATCTATGAGTCTATTTTGTGTGTTGGTTGTATGTTCATTAGATTCTACATATGAGTGAAATCATGTGATATTTGTCTTTCTCTGGCTATTACCCTTAGCAAATGTTCTCCAGGTCCATCTATGCTATCACAAAAGGTGAGGTTTCCTTTTTTTTTTTTTTTTTTACAGCCATGTAGTACAGCATTGTGCAAATGTACCACAGCTTTTTTATCCGCTCATCTACTGATGGACTCTTGGACTACTTCTAAATCTTGGCAGTGAACATAGGGTTGCATATATTCTTTCGAATTCGTGTTTCAGTGTCCCCAAAAGTGGAATTGCTGGGTCATAAGACAGTTTCATTTATAATTTCTTGAGGTATCTCCACCGCTTTCCACAGTGACTGCACCAATTTGCGCTCCCAGCAGCAGCGTACAAGAATTCCCTTTTTTCCACATCCTCACCAACACCTATTTGTCGATTTATCGGTGATAGCCATTCGGACAAGCATGAGGTGATATTTCATTGTGGTTTTAATTTGCATTTCTCTGATGACTAGTGACATTGAGTGTCTTTGCATATGCCACTATGTCTACTGGCCATCTGTATGTCCTCTTTGGAGAAATGTCTATTTAGGTAGGTCCTTAGCCCATTTTTTGTTGGATTGTTTGGGGTCTTTTGGTGTTGAGTTTTATAAGTTCTTTATAAATTTTGGATGTTAACCTCTTATCAGATATATCATTGGCAAATGTGTCCACCCATATAGTGGGTTATCTTTTCATTTTGTTGATGGTTCATTTGTTTATTTCTTTCTTTTGTTTGCCTTGTCCAAGGAGATATATCAGGAAAAAATATTGCTATGGGAACTGAGATTTTTCTGCCTGTGTTTTCTTCTAGGATCTTTATAGTTTAGAGTCTAACTTAACTTTAATCCATTTGAGTTTATTCTTGTGTATAGGATAAGAAGGGGGTCTAGTTTGATCTTTTCCCTGCATGTATTTGTCCAATTTTTCCAACACCATTTATTGAAGGGATTATCTTTACCCTATTGCATATTTTCCCCCTTTTTCAAATATTAATTGACCATAAAGGGGTAGGTTGATTTCTGGGCTCTTTAATCTGGTCCATTGATCTATATGTCTGTTTTTATGTTAGTACCAAGCTGTTTTGATTACTCTGGCCTTTAGTATAGTTTAATATTAGGTAGCATGATTCCTCCAATTCTATTCTTTTTTCTCAAGATTGCTGTGGTTATTTGGGGTCTTTTTTGGTTCCATATAAATTTTTGGAATATTTATTGTAGTTCTGTGAAATATGCCATTGGTATCTTGATAGGAATTGCATTGAATCCATTGATTGCTTTGGGTAGTTTGGACATTTCAATGATGTTAATTCTTTCTATCCATGAACATGGTATGTGTGTCCACTTATTTGTATCTTCTTCAGTTTCTTTCTTTAGTGTCTTATAATTTTCCAAATGCAGGTCTTTACATCGTTGGTTAAATTTATTGCTAGGTATTTTTTTAGGCAATTGTGATGGGATTGTTTTCTTAGTTTCCCTTTCTGAAAGTTCCTTATTGGTATATAAAACTGCAACCAATTTCTGAATATTTATTTTGTATCATGCTACTTTACTCAATTTATTAACTAATTCTAGTAGTTTTTTTGGTGGAATCTTTAGGGTTCCCTTTATATACCATGTCATCTGAAAATAATGACAGTTTTACTTCTTTTTAATTTGGATGTCATTTATTTCATCTTACCTGATTGCTGTGGCTAGATTTCCAGTACTATGTTGAATAAGAATGGTAAAAGCAGACATCCTTGTCTTGTTTCCAATTTTGAGGGAAACGTTTGTAGTTTCTGCCCACTAAGTACTATGTTGGCTGGGGGTTTGTCATATTAGGCCTTTATTACATTGAGGTATGTTCCCTCTTCCCCTTTCTTTCTATCCTTGACTGTTCCGGTTCTCTTGAAGCCAACTTCTGGACCATTCTTTGGGCTTATAATTCCACTTTTCATCCTAATCATCTCTGCTGAACAGCCATAGTGTGCTGTTAATCACAAAATTTATAAAAACTATTATTTTCAACCTCATACATTCACAGGAATTTGTTCATTTTTGAAACTACACAAGCATTGTTTTTGTTATCTTCTTCTGCAGAGGGCTTGTCTTAAGCCAGTAATGCAACTTCGCATTCCTGTCCATGGGCCCCATTGTTAGGGAAGATTCTGTCAGTGAGGTAGAAGCTGACCCTGCTTCTCCGAGGAGTATCAGAAGAATGTCAGATGAGACACAGCTGATCTCCATCATGATCTGTAAGGCACACTGATCTGATCACCTCCAGTGGGTTATTTCTCTCACTAGCATAATTCATGTGTAGGTGGTGGTTGTGTGAGATCATATGTGGCCTTGTCTTTTTTATTCATATGCCCTGCATTTTCTCTCTCAGACTGGGATTGCTTGCTAGATAGCAGAGACATTGGTAGGCAGATCTGGATGAGTAACCTAAGTCTGTTACATGCAGGTATCTAACCGTACGGGGGTAGCTGGTGGTGTTGAGGAGAAAGCAGTTGGAAAGCATAGGGCGAGGTGGCTCATTAAAAAAAAAAAAATATATATATATATATATATATATATATATATATATATATATATATATGGTTTATTATGCATGTCCTTGGCCCATAGGCTTACTTATTGTCACCAGGGCAAAGTGGCATCTTCCAGAGTTCTACCTGAGTTCTACCAGAGTTCTCCCCCTTCCTTAATACCATTGTTGTTTTAAGGTTATTTGAAATAGCTGATTCTCTTAAAGTTTGTATTTTCTATTTACCTCATTGTAACTTTATTCTTTAAAAAATATTGAGGAGGGCATTTTTTACTTTTTGTTGTTTGGGTTTTTTTAGGGGCTGCGGATAGAGTATAGCAGCTTTTGATCAAGGCTGTAGCTTTTTTATGCTCATTTTTGCCCAGTGTCCTCTGAGGAATTTTAAGAGCCTCACCAATGAAATAAAACATCCATGGCTGAGAGGACAAGATGGGTGGCTGAAGAGTTGTTTGCCACTATAAGTCACTGCAGTAGCAGTTTTCCTGCATCCCTTTGGCAAATAATAGTTAAATACTCACCTGCAAGGAGTTCTCTGATGGCTGGTGGGAAGCCCTGCCCTCTACAGTATGAACACAGCAAGTCTTTCTAACTCTCTGCATATGTATTACCATTATTATTTCGAGATAAAGCAGAGCAAAGCGATGAGTACCATTGCCCACATTAACTCTGTCAAGAGGAAAGAAGCAGCATATGGTTTCAGTGTCTCTCCAGTCTCATATTATTGTTAGATTCGTTTCCTGAAAACTTAATGTTAGATGGAGTGTAATTGCAGATTTCCTTAAGAACCATCAACAGATACTTATCCTAAGTTATAAACAACTCATACTGTGAAATGTATGCAAACATTCTAAGTTTTCTTGCAGAAAAATATCTCTCAGTGAAACCCCGTATTCATCAGTCTTTTTTAATGAACAAAGCTCAGAGGAGAAGTTGGGGGAACTTTCTTTTGTTGCTACTTGATTTTTAAAAGAAATTAATGTTGTTGGAACTGTTACTGGTTTTCAGAGTGAAATAAGTCTTCAATAAGTATCATCCTAGAAACCATACAAACTTCAGTTAAGGGGGCTACGTTTTTAACAAGATAGTAAAAAAAATAGTAAATTATGGTGTATTTAGGTATTGGCAGTACATGTTGAAGAGGGTTTTGGTGGTGTTTTTTTAATTGTTAGGTGGTCTATTGAGTGCAGCTGTGTTTATGTTTCCTACATGGGAATTGCCTGAACATGATAGCAAGTCCCTACATATGAGACTAACGATTGCTTTTTAAAAAATCTTCATGCCAATGTGCTTCAATATGGAAGGTTATATTTATCAAGTAGCAATGGCAAAAATAATTATGGACATAATCATTCAATACAGCTGGTTTGCTACATCAGATATTTGGACAACCTTGTAAAAAATAAGCAAGTGATACTTTAAATGTTACATTTCACAGTGGAATAAACTTGGAAATGGTAGAATATTTTAGAATAGTCACTTTTTTTACCCCGTGTTTTGTCTGACTTGTTATTAAAAATGCATGCTTACATCATAAACATAAATAAATATATATTAATCCTGTAGAGAATCAGCAGTCCCATATTTTTGCTGTATTTCCCTTAAAAAATATGAATATGGGGTCACGGCTGCAACACAGAAGAGGCAGTTCCTTGTGACAGAAGAAATGCATGTAGTAAGTTAGTGCCCATGTGAATTGATCACTAATACAGAACAGTATGCAACATGCGAAATGTTTAGGTGCAAGGACTTAATGACTGCTTTTTGGAAGGAAGCATTTCTTGAGTATTACATCCCTCATAACTCAAATTAATGTTTATTACTACTCTTTCATATTGCCAAAATATTATCATAAATTTGGATTAGAAGCAGCTTGTTCTGGCTTGTTTTGCAACTTTGTTTCAAGAAACAAAGTGATATTTAGAAGATTTTTGTATGTCCTAGAAGCTTTAATTATCTTCTGTTGGAGGAAATAAGATAAAGTTTTGTTTCAGAGTTATGTAAGAAAATTAGATTTCATACTCTGCTTACTTTATATTACCAAGTAGTTAACAATGTCTTTCAGGAAATTTGCATTCGTGATTCTTGAATTGGCTATAACTAGCAATTTAGAGCCCATTTTAAATTCAGAAGGGTACTCCTTACTGGTCCAGAGTTCTTTGGGCTGGCCTTTATTTTGAACTCTCAAGTGTTTGCCCTCATCATTCCTTTCTTCTCTCCTTTTCTTCCCAGATTGGTGAAAGACAGCAAGTGTTAGTAACAGAAGAATCTTTTGATTCCAAGTTTTATGTTGCACACAATCGATTCTATGAGCAGGTAAGAGATATGAGATACTCTCTTGTTCTTAAGTTTTCTCTCAAATGAAAGAGTTCTGAAAGTAAGTTGATTTAAGCAAAAGTAACTTGAAAAGTAGGAGGGTTGTAGAATCTTGTTGCAGCAAAGCTATTTTATAACAGCAAGCCAGCTGGGCTAACACAGGGCTTATCTTTGTGGCTTAGTCTACGAAACATTCTCTGGGAAGGAATATGTGTGTTTTAGTACTCATTAGTCTCTGACAGGGCCAGCCTTTGGCTTTTGGGAGTTTGGAACAGGCAGCTGTCCCTGTCAGGATTCCCACAGCCCGGCAAAGTCCAGGGGAAAGTCCCATCTGGGGCAGGAAGGATGTCTGCACGGGCGACATCAGTGTGGAAGGGCAGGGATTTCCTCTTACTGTCATGGCGCTCAGACGGGCTTGTTGGTTGGTCGGTTTTCTTTAGTTTTGTTTAGTTTCAGTATTTGGTTTTTGTTTTTAACTCCCACCTTGATAAAAAATGCCGGGAGCAAAGATAGAAGAGTCTGTTCCTTGGATTCAATTTAAATTTTGTGAACAACTCTGGAGAGAAATGTAAGGATCAAAGCACCTTTACTCTGAGAATTTTCTTCGAGGCCAAGCCGAAGGGCTTCCTTCCCTGCCCACGTGAGCTCGCCTGCCTTGTCCCGTCAGTAGCCGGGCTTCTCTTTCAGCACTTGGGACTCTACTTCCCGGGTGGTAAAAACTCAGAAGTGACTCAAGAAAAAAGAATGCCCTCCTTTGGGGGCACTGTGACATTGAGATGGGGGTGTGCCCTCTTAGGTGGGAGACTTTCATGGAGACAGAAATTTCATGGGTCATCCCTGGATTTTTAACTTCTAAGATCAGGTCAGTTTTCTTCCCTTTCTGTTCCTTTCTCATCACATAAGAACTGAATTTTTTTTTCTGTGTGTCATGGCTGGAATGGAATTAGAGCTTGGGAAGGCTCTTAACACCAGGGTGGGCAAGTCAGGTAAGGAATGGCAAAGGCCAGGTGGCCTGTGCGTGTTCGGAAGCAGGGAAGCAGCCCCTGAAGAGGCCTCCAGCACTAGGAACCGTCTCACGCTGGGCCTGGGTCCGCAGGAAAGGTGGGGGAAGTTGTCAAGACCCAGACTAAACAAGCCCTGCTCAGTACCCAACGGAGACTACAATTGAGGAAGGATTTCCAGCACTCCGTGTTTGAGCCGAGCCTCTTCCCCATTTTCCATCTCATTAATTGACTCCAGAGAGCCGTTTTTCTATTCAGGCCAACTTTCTGCTCAGCCCTGGGGAGGAGCTTGATTGTATTTTTGTTGCCTCTTCCCTCTCCTTTCTCTTGCCATCTGGGTTTTTGCCTCAGCGGGGGAACTTTTTTCCCCTTCATTTTAAAGGCAATGGCATGCCTCATTAGCTGTTTCCTCCAATTTAAAGCAGTCGGGCTTTTTCCAATTATTAAAACCGGAGGGGGAAAAACACTGAGCCCTTCATTCAGATCAAGGCAGCAGATCAAGGCAAGTTATTTTCCCCCAGAATAGTACCACATCTCCCAGGGATAGTTTACTCTAGAGATTTTCTTGTTTTATAAAAACCGATTTAAAAGAGCTTTCATATTCTGATACTAAAGCTCTTTTACTTCAGTTGCTTACTATGAGTAATTCACCACCCAGGTGACCTTCTTCCTACACTTTGATGAAGCAGTGTACTCAGTGGTCATAAAAAAATCAAACTCAGAAAGACCAAGATCTAATGTTGTCTCTCAGAGAAATTGGCTGTGGAACTTCTGGCTCTTGACTGACTTTTTTGTCTCTACAACTAAGTATCAAACATTTCATAGGAATTATTTTTCTAATAAGATGAGTTCCAGAAGTAAAGATTATATCAAGATATCACAGTATTGCTGGATTAGAATTAGTCTATTTATTTTGGACCCTAACTTTAAAAGATTGGCAAGTAACTACAGTATTAAAATAGAAGTGTGAGGGAGACATAATGCATACAGACTACCTGTAAGTCCCAAAGCAGGGGAAACGTTTGCTCAAGGTAAACAAGTACTTTTATCCGAAATCTCTGGTGGAAAGAGACCATCTGACAGTTTCCTGTGAACCAGCCAAAGTACCCTTCAGAGTAGCTGAATCTACATGGAGGCAGAACTAGCAAATACCGTATTTTGCCATGTACAATGTGCACTTATGTTTTTGGCCCAAACTTTCAGGGAAAAACGTCTTTCATTTTAATTTTTTAATTCTGTTTATGTATTTATTTATATTTAGATACTTGTTTTTTGTATTTTAAAGGAATTTTAGCATTTATTTTTGAACATATGGTACAAGAAATTTTATGTAACAAATCATTAAAAGAATTAAAAACATTTATATAGATGTAGAATTAGTACTACCCATGTATAATGCACACCCTTATTTTTTCCCTCAAAAATTGGGGCAAAAAAGTGTTCATCATACAGGGCAAAATACGGTACCTGTGTTTTAGAGCAGATCAAAAGAACTGAATGGCAACCACTAGTTAAAGGAGCCATTTACCTCCAAACCCCATGTTTGGGTTATTGAAAGGGTTGTTTTTAAATGTTTTTTTTTCTCTTCCCCCCAAACACACGGTCATGCACACACATGCACCCATGCACATGCAGACACGCAGGCCTCCATTCGAAGTGTGTGCGTAAACCAGTACTCTGACAGCTAACTCGGAAGGTATCAAAAGTATGAGGCTTTCTTTCATCAGTGTTGTCTCCGCTTTCTTCATTGCACGGGGCAGGCAAGAGCAGAATATCAAAGGCCTGTCCAAAAGTGACTGGCTGACTGCCGGGGATTTCCCAGGTCTGCCTTCCACATGCCGCAGGACAGCAGGCGGCCTGCAGTGAGCGAGTGCTGCCCGCTGCCCACCCCTCCCCCCAGAGCGCCTCTCCTTCCTGCTGGATCCCCGGGCCCTGGAGCAGCTGGGAGACAGAGCCCACCTGGGATGGGATTCCAGAGTAGGAAAAGGACGTTAGTTGACAGCTGAGGAATTCCGAATAAAGGATAGACTTTAGTTAATAGTAATACACCAATAATGGCTCATTAATTGTGACATGTCTCTCATACTAATGTAAAATGTTTTCATAGGGAAACTGAGTGTGGTGTATGCAGGAATTCTCTGTGTTCTCTTTGCAGTGATTCTGTAAACTTAAAACTGTTCTAAAATTATAAGTTTATTTTTTAAAAATTAAGCCTTCTGAAAAAAATTTTTTTTAAGGTTTTAGTGCCAAAGAACCCCACGTTCATGGGAAAAATGGTCGAAGTGGACATTTATGAATCAGGAAAGCATTTTATGAAAGGGCAGCCAGTATCAGACGCCAAAGTATACACACCATCCATCAGCAAACCATTAGCAAAAGGAGAAGTCTCCGGTTTAACAGAGGTGAGTAAACGATGCTGTCACTCTCCTAGCCAGCAAAGCAGCAGCTGCGGATGCACCCTGATTCCAGACCGCGTTTCTCTTATCATTTATAGTTCCCTTCTTATGTATGCATGAGGCTCTAATCTCTTCTGACACGTAGAAATCTGAATGAGGAAGATGCATTTTTGCTGATGCCTTTAACTTTTTTCCCTCCCTCTGCCTGTAAAGTGAATGAGCTGTTTCTGCTTCTAGCTTAGAAGCAGAAGGCAAACGCCATTATTTTCAGGTGAGAGATTTAACACCAAAGACGATCTGATCCGGTCTGTTTCCATGTCAGTGGATCCTGAGTGGAAGGGGCTGAGGGAGGAAATACTTTCTTGCTTTACAAAGCTGTTTATAACATAGTAAAAACCTGCCGTTCAACGGACACTAAGCGTGTCGGTGTGTGTGCTTATGGTGCACTTCGCTAGGGCAGCGATTTTCAGCCTTTTTCATCTCGTGGCACACATGAACTAATGACTAAAATTCTGTGGCACACCAAAAAATGTATTTTATGCCTGTCTGACAAAAAAATAAGTATAATTTTGATTCATTCACACCAGATGGCTATTGTTGTGTTGGCTGTTGTCATTCTTTTAATTTGACAGTCTAAGGGAAAAGAGGTCAGTGCCCCTGACTAAATAGTCAGGCATTGCATGTTTTAACAATTCTCGCAGCACAACAGTTGAAAATCGCTGCTCTAGGGTGTTAACTGAATATCTTCTTTAGTCGTGTGGAGTGAAAATTAAACATTTTTTTCTTTCGATAAAAAAGTAACCTGACCCCTGTTTTATACCTTGGTTTATATGGCTGTTTGCCAAGCTCTCTCTTACATTTCATTGAGCTACTGTTGTAAAAGCTGATGGAGTGTGAAATGAAAATGTGTATCACATTTCTAAGCATCATTTGATGTCCTTTCTCTAACACAATTGTTAAGCACTCCAAGAAGAGTACATAGCAATGACTTAACATACGGAGAAAACATAGGGGGTATTTATCTGGCCATATAATCCCAAAATTGTTTTAATATATGCGTTATCTCTTCCCTCAAAATAAATTGCAAGGGTGTGTTAATTAAACTGGGAGTAGTGACAAAGAGGGCACTATTATCTGTATTCTCGATTAGCATGGTGACACACTGGTGCCCAAACACAAGTGACCCCTCTCATGGGCTTGACGAGTGCCTGTGAGGAATCTGTGTGCACAGCTGTCCGACTGATAACGGAAGGCGCGGGCGAGCCCACACCCCGCCCACGGGGTGTCCTGCTCGGCCAGGAGTGAGCTCTGGAACTTGATAAGCAAGACCAGCAACGCTCGCTATTATTTAAAGAAGAAACCGTACTTGTGGGTTGGAATTCATGGGCAAGAGGGAACGGTAGAAGTCAGCATTTAAATTATATTGCTAGAAATGTGGCTTTTACTTCAGACATTTTTAAAGGAAGTTGACTTATTTTTGTTTTCCTACACGGTGTGTTTTATGCTTGATTTTTAAGTCGCCACAATAAAAGGAGTCACGGCAAATGGTAGTAGTGCACAAACTAGTATTTCAAAGACCTGCCTGATTTAACTCTTTCGTGTACACCTATTAAAAAGGATGGTGTTTTAAAGTATCATCATTGATGATACCTAAGTCAGAAAAAGTAGTCCCCTTTTGTTAGTTGCTTAACTGTGGTTAAGAAAATGTACATTGCATGGGGCAGCAATGCTCTTCCTCTGCTGCTCTTCCTTCCTCCGGCCTGCGAGTTGGTGCTGTCACTACTGCCACCACAGCCCTCCTCTGAGTCGGGAAGGCCCAGAAGTCCTAGGTGAGACGGGGTTAGGGATCGGGCGCTGCCGGCCCTCCTGGGCCTCTGGAAGCAGTCTTACGGCATGCGTGAGGCCAGAGTCAGGAGTATCCAGTCGGGTGTGTCCAGCAAGGGAAACATCAGGCAAGTTATCACCATTTGTGACTTTGTGTAAATTAATGAACATAGCTTTACGCTTCATTATTTGTCAGCTTTAGGGATATGCCGAATGCTGGGTGGAAAAGCCTTCTTTAATGAATTGGTCCTGATGTTAAAATGTTTTGGCGGATGATTATGAATGAAAATAAATTGAGCAAGAAGAGAACAGCTTCCATTTCTACAGGATTTAGAAGTAGATGGTAAAGGTTATAATGATGTCTCAGACATTTGGGCTCTTTGAATACTGATCAAGGTGTTGGCACTCTTGGATCCAAAACAGTCAGCTTAACTCCATGGGTGAAGCCTGGCCTTGAGGTCAGATAGACCTGGATTTGCATCTACACCTGCCGGTTTATCGTATGCACGTGACCCCTGAGCTTTAGTTTAGTCTGTTAAATGGGAATGATAATGTCTACCTCATGGAGTGTTGAAAAGAATACCTTCAATAGTGTATGTAACCCGTTTAATCTTATTGCTGGAACATAGTCAACAGTTACTAAGTGGTCATTGTCCCTTTCCCTCAAATCTAGTTGCATCTAGAAAGAGTCGACTCTGAAGATGACCTAATGTTAACAGTGTCAGCTTTGCTCAGTATTTCACATGCTCATGCTGTACAGAGACAGTGGAGGGGGTGAATTGCTGTATTAGAATGATCTATTCAGTGCATGAGAGCCAGCCCCATCAGAACTCATGTCTTCCTGAATTTTCTAGGTATTTCTGGGTTTTCTGGAATGATAACCTCCCCTGCACACTTTGTAAACAAATCTGGAAAAGCCAAAACATCTCAAGCAAAATATTATACATGAAAACTATTTTGCTTTGTAAGTGCATTTTCTTAATTGAGAATTTCATGATTACTCTTTAAGAATCTAGTCCTGTGCTACTGTGGACTTTCCTGCCTCGTGTTAGGCCCGTTGGCATCCTCTGACAAAACGGGAGCCGCACCACCGACTGGGAGCCGTGAGGCCTGGGCCAGGGAGCACTGTGCTTGCAGCGACAGATTTTGTGACCTTTCGTGCATCTCGTAGGTCCCCTGAACCTCGGTTGTCTCTGGGATTCTGTGATTGAAATATGTCATTTGACAAAAACGGATTGAATGCCTACCCTATGGCAGGACTTTGAATTCTGTAAGTAGGAATAGCAAACAGGCTTTGTATTATCAAATAATAAGGGGTATATGCCCATAACGTGCTGGGAAAAGAAAGCCATAGTAAAGTCAAAAGATTACTGCCCTCTAAGAAGTTATAGCCTAGTGGGCACAACATATAGTAACATCTTTTAATGATTACTACTCTTTCTCTTTTCAGTTGGGTTAGAGGAGTGGAGGAATAGAAGTGGGAGGGACTAGGAAAGAGAGACAAAATCAGTCGGTTTCATAGGGGAGATGATAGCCAAGTGCCGCCTCCAACCTGATAGGGAACATCGCTGAATAAGGATCATTTAAGGATCATTCACTTCAGACTAAAGTTAACATGAAGATAATCCAATGAAGGCAGCATAGAGTTCAAAGGGATAAATATAAATCAAAGAAAGGATAGATCATAAACTTTTCTCTGAAAGCTGTTTGTTCTCAGGTGGAAGAAGGGGTGGTACGTAAGTTTTCATAGATGGTCTAGGATGATAGTTTTCAAGTGTGGTCTCAGGGATATCTGGGCACTTGTTCAAAGTGTAAATTCTTCAGCTTAAACCCAAACCTGAGTCGGGAATGGTGAGGGCGGCTCAAGGAAGATCTGTTTCAACCACCCTCCGGGTAACACTGATGCGTGCTGGAATTTGAGAGCCGCCCTTCGAGCAAGATGACTCCCAGGTGGGGAGGAGACCACGTGATAGTCATAAGAGCAATTTTAATATTTTAATGTAATTATACCAACTTTTCATAGTACTATCTTCAGAAAATAGAGTCAAACAGTATCTCCTTGGATGATGGACATCGTCCCTCATCTGCGTAATTCTTCAGAAGGTGACTATAAAAATGACAGTCGGGATGGAGGCAAAAGTTGTATGTGGGGGGGGGGCAGCTGTTGAGGGAAAGGTGGCAGAGGAACAGGACCCTTGAGAAAAACACAGTTTTAAGATGTGAAGAGCTTTGATATTTTTATCCAGCTCTCTTGTGGAACCTCAATTTGTGATAAGATAGCCTGTTCAATATGATGGCCTTTTTTTAAAAATTAATTTTATGAAGTACAGTTTATATAGAGTGAAATGCACAGATCTTAAGCTTACATTCTGATAAATGTGCGCGCCCTTACAAACAACGCAACAGTGAAGGTGCGGAACGTGCCTGCTGCCTCAGGAAGTGCCCTCATAATCCCCTCTGGACTCTTCCCTCTCCCCTGCCCTGGACACGCCCTGCCATGGCTTCTGTCGCCAGCTCTCACTTTATATATAAATGCAATACAACATTGACTTTTTTGTGTATTTTTAAATTTTTTTATTTTAATTGTTGTCCAGGTCGTTTCCTGCCTTTCCCCACACCGTGGCCCACCCACCCCCAGCGCTCCGCACCTCCTCCTTGTGTCCACTCCCCCCTCGTTATTGTGCATGTGTCCTTTATACTTGTTCCTGCAAACCCTTCCCTTTCCCCCGAAATTCCCTCCCCTTTCTCTCAATATGATGGTCTTTATATACAACTGAAATTTCCTTAGAAAATTGCTATGCTGTTCATTCTTTTCACCTTAAGAAAACCTGTGCGTGATCAGAACCTCACATCACCTGTACCAAATTCATGGCCCTTTGGTAATATGAAAAATTATCCGAGAGCCATCATCAAAGATTGGAATCAATGAATTGTTTTATCTCTATTATGGAAAATTTTTATTGTTGAAATTTTTAAGCATATTCATAAGTAGAGAGAATAGTATGATCTCACTTAACCATCGCCCACTTTATTTATTTTTTAAATTTTATGAAGATTTTATTTATTTATTTTTAGAGAGAGGAGTAGGGAGAAAGAAAGGGATAGAAACTTCGATGTGAAAAAGAAACTGATCTTTTGCCTCTTGTATGCACCCGACTGAGGGCTGAACCTGCAACCCAGGC